CCAAACACTCACCTTTTTCTTCTTTCTCAAAAAGTCTTCATCCGTGCTCATTCTCTTCTGCTGAAAAGCAAAACCTATAATCCATAAATCTCATGCTCAAAAATATTCTGTTTATTATATTCCCTCGATCATTCTCTGTCTTGTTTCTATTCTTTCTTCTTCTGTGCTTGATGGAAAAATCACTGAGGCCCCGTTTGGCAGTGTCATAAACTGAAGTGTAATATTGCCCTATGGTTGAGTTTTCACTCCTTTCACCAATCCTTGTGCCTTACCGTGAAAGGAAGTCATCCCTGCTGCATTGTCCACAGCAAATCTTACAACCGCTTAGGGTTCAACATCCCTGAAGGATGAAAGAACCCTTGACTCAATACCTTGATTCCTTAGACTCAACAAGACTCTCAACTCATTTTCTGGATTGCTGATCAAGACTTGCAAGACTCTAGACGTCCGTCCATCCCTCAGGTTCCAAACCTTCTAAGTTTCATCAAGACACCAGCTTCAGCTGTTCTTCATCGAGCATTGCGTTCTCCACGTGCTGTTTGTTTTTTTTTCTCCTCTTGTCTCTTTTTTTGATTCTCTTGTTCAGTCTGTTCTCTGTTGTTTGATGTGAAAATCACTAATCTTTCTTTTCTTTTATTCTCAGTTGTGCTTCTTTGATCTTCTGTCTTCTTACTTCTTATCAATTCCTCATTATTTTACATCTTTGTCCATCATTGGGGGTATGTTTGATTCTTTTCTTTTCTGCTTGTTTTCTTTAGAATTTTCTCTGATCTTTTTATCTTTCAGTCTGGTTTTGGTTCTCTGAAATTTTATCAGAAATTCTTCACCTATTAGGGGGTATCAAATATAACCAAATCCACCATTAATTAATTGACTGGTTTGAAAAAATCCACCCTTTTTTAAACATGTTGGTTATCCATTTAACCTCTTTTGGGGCCCATTTATGCGAAAAAAAGTTTTTGGAAAAGTGACTGGTTTCTGATGGTGGATTTCCTATATTTGATACCCCCTATTAAATGACTAAAAAATAAACCCCTAAGAAATATGTAACGCTGGATCCCCCGGGGTACCCAGCACCTCTCAGGATCCCCAGTGCCCTGACCTGCGGGTATACCCTTCAGCCAGGAAGGCAAAACAAAGTGCCCAAGCTCTTCCCTTTGGGTATTGGAAACAGTACATGGGTATTCAATTTCCCCGCGGGACTGTTTTCTACACGGGTATACCCTCAAGACCAAGGGTAATATACCCGGCCTTATTTGGGTCCCTCCTCCTGGGACTTGGAAAGTTGGGAGGACTCCAAAGTTTGACCAACCTTTAATATATACAACCCCATCACTAGCCATTCATACTTCAATCCTAATATGGCCAAAAAAAATACTAAGAACCCTGATATCAAAGTTGTTCATGATTCTCAAGATTGAACCTGAAAAAGCAAGACTTCAGACACCAAAGATACAAAAACCTCATGGGTTTGGGCACATTTCAATCCTGAGATCAACCAAGTCAACAAAAAAATTGTTATTTGTACAGTTCATTTTAAGAAAAAGGAAACTACCTGCAAGAAGGAATTACAACAAGACCCAACTGGCAGCACCAAAGCAATGATTGAAAATCTCAGGCAGAACCACAAAATTTATCCACCTACTCAAGAGGTCACAAATCAACTCCTTCTCCCCAGTCTCTTCAAATGACAACGTGTCAAACAGCGGGTGTGATTTTTGTTCTCATATTTTCTTCCCTTGGATATGGGTTTGTTACTGATTAGGAATTCGATGCAGCCTGTCCTTACTTGCGATTTGCTCAAACAGGTATATTTTATCTTGTTGTGGAGGCCAACTGGAGGAATTCCCGTTGTAAGACTCAAAAGTGGTTATGAAACCCTTTTGCTGAATGGAGAAGGGTATGTTGGAGTTGCAAGCTCTGCCCTTCTATACTATCAGAATAACAAGACCACCAAGCTTAGCTTGGCAATTTTATATATAGTGATAGGAATACGTTTGAGATGAAGCTGCCAATTGATATGTGTGAGGATATAAAGATGTTATTGACTGTTGGTTATATCGATGAAGTTGTTGTCAATGAATATGGTTCAGGGCACTTTTGGTTTATGATGATGATGAAAGTGTTAAATCTGTATTTCAATTTATATAATTCTGAAATTGTAATGTGGCTATGACTTGTAGTTATGAAATAATATGTAAGATGGATTTATTTATAAGGGTGGTTGAGATGATCTGGTCCACTGGTGGGATGATGGAGGGAACAACTGGCAGGCAGAGGCCTCCTTATATAGACAAATGTGAGGGATTTTGGCCCCAGGGTACAGGCTGAAAGATACTACTACAAAGGGAGATCAAAGGGACGCATACATGCAATATCACTAATACAAAGGGATTCAAAATAACGTAAAGGTATTCAATTTACTAAAAAGGAATTCAGTATGAAATATGCATCCTGTATTCATAATGACAATGGCTAGAGTGAAGAATCCAAGAAATATCCTGTGACAGGTTGAAATACATGTAACTTCTAAACTATAAGAGATAAAGGTATGGTTGTAGTGGGTGACTAGGGGTTATTTTACCTGAGGATTCCATTTTTGATGTCATTTCTACCATATATTGAATGAATAAAGAGATAATAAGAAATTTTTATATTTTCTGCGTAGAAACACAGTATTATTTACCACACCGTTGCCATTTAGAGTGCTTTTTAAGCCCTCCTCAGTTATAAATTCACAACTCAATCATAATTCCAACCAGCTCACATGAGAGCTATCTTCACAAGGCTTGTGGAAAAATAATTTTTTTATACCAAAAATTAAGATCTAGGGGGTGTAAATCAGATTCTGGGAGGGTTGTAAACCACAAAGGGAAGTCATCCACTTACCAGATCAACTATAAGGATATGGGATCTCTATTGGCAAAAGGATTGGGTTGGACTTTCCAACAGAAGCTATGCCAAAGTTGGAAAGAAGGAAGCCTATGGTGTATGACAAAATACATACCGGTGGCAAAGAAATTCCGTGTCAGCCTGCTACTAATCAGAGCCAGCCTGAACATAGCATTTTACATATAAAATAGAGATATTATTACTTATATATGTACATACATTTAAAATAATAAAAATATACTATTTAAATAAGTGGAAGCACTATAATAGAGACATTATTACATAGTACACTTACATTGTAATATTTTAAGAGAAAAACATTTAAATAATTAAATAAATACTGGAAAATAACATTTTTAACCAGAATCTCCTAATAACTTCTGAACCTTAAGCATAACTCAGAATATTATTGCAGATTCTGAATCTACATGCAAAATAACCTAGGGTAGCTCACCAAGTGTACCCCTGAATTATTACTCCTTCACTTACTTTGTAGTCCTTGAGTGATATTGGACCAAAATACACTGTAGACCCCTCCAGTTACATCATACTACATGTTGTAAGGGGGCTACATGTGTAATTAAGGTTCATGCAGTTCGGGAAAAATCTACAAACAAGGTTTACATCATTGAAACCTTAACTACATGAGCACAGACTACAGTATTGAATTGTTTGGGATGATCTGTGGCCCTTTTTGGCCCAATTGGGGCAATTACTCTCTTGAAGATCAACCCATGCATCATGCAGTGCTTACATAGGCTGCAGGAGTGTTACAGTTTCGTCAGAACACCCTGTAAACATGGTTACAAGCATTACATCATCTCCTTGGCACCTGTAACCAAGCTCTACAGGTGCTACAGATGATCAAAAGCTCCCATAGGCTTAGTAGGAGAGTTGTAGCAACTAGAGAGACTCCTGAGTTCGCCTTCAGAGGCCCAGAATGGGTACTTAAGAGCCCCTTCTCCCCCCTGAACTTTGTTTCCCCATCTTCATCAGTACATACCAGCATAAACCGTCACCAACAACCAGTTTCAACCTGCCTTTTGGCCCAGTTCCTGCTGTTATCAACCTGAATTTCACTCAACAACCCAACACCTGCTCCCCAGCACTCTCCCAACACCTCTCACTCACCTTTCTGAGCGCTTCAAGAACAGTCCCCCTCTCCTGAAGACCTCCTTGGCTTAGAGATAAGTACCAGTAAGTATTATCTCTTTGTTTTCCTCAGTAGTAGACTTTTTTCTGGGTTTACTCCTTTATTACAAAGGACCAGAACTTCAGTACCACCCCTGCAACTCAGGACCTGAATTAGAGGGCACAGTAAAAAACCCCTGCAACTCAGGCCCCTCTGTAAATAAAAAACTTAATAGTTTTTTATTTACTATTTTCTTTTATTTTACACACAATTCCCCCACTTTTCACGTGTCACCCACACGTGTACACATCCCATTCTTACTCTTGCAGCTAGTGTAGCTAGAAGAGTTCTGCTCTTGGCATCACTTAGCCTGACAATTGGGGGTCTGGCCGGGAACTATTTTTATCTTTTGATAAAAACCTGGCACTATTTTTCCTACTAAAAAATAAAACAAAACACACACAAAAATTGTTTATTTTTTCACTAATCCTTCTTTAAATTTTCCACACAAAACCAAACCAACAAAAGAATCTCACAAATATTGAATCATTAGTAAAAAAATACATACATCTTTTTACTCAATCTCATTCCTTTCTTCATCCTAGTGCAATTGAAAGAAACCCTGAGACTTCTAATAAAGTATTATCTTACTCTTGCTTCTGAGAAAAGCACAACGTGGAGCTGACTATCAGCCTACTGACTGGGAACTCCTCACCCCAGAAGAACAAACACGCTCGAGCTCTTCGAGGCGTAGAGATTAGCAAAGACGAAAGAGTTTCCAACCTGTTGCTTGGAACTCATTCAAGAGAAACCATCAACCTCATTGCTGCCAACTTATATCTGAGCTCAGAGCTAAAAGAATCGCGAAGAGTACTTGCTATACATCTCTAACAGTCATCCTCTAACAACAAACATCTTACTGAAAAATACTTAAACTCTTTGCAACTAGCAGTGTCAGTCACCTCTCAGTCTAGCAATGCCACTACCAGGCAATTCCACAAGCCAGCTGGAGGAAAGAGTGAACCGGCTGAAGTTGATAACTATACAGAAAAAACTAGAGCCGCTAGCGATTACAAAACCAACATCGGTAGACAAAGGCTTGATACCAATAACGGAAGCCGCACCTCCAGTCACTACTCGAGCAAATCCAGAAGCACCTACTTGCGAGAAGACTCCAGCGGAGAAGGCTGTGGATGCTATGGACCTGGATCCACAAGCCTTGAGCTCCAGGGTTGGAACCCTTGGAACGCAGAGAAAGAGAAATGAGAAAAGAAGCAAAGCTCCTCCTCCCGAGTGTATTCAGTATACAAGAACAAGAGCTTCATCAACCCCTGCCGTTGTAAATAGCTCATGAAGGACTGCAGAACTCTCGAAGCAGGATACTGTCACATGGAGGACCAGACCTTAATCTCCTCACCATTTTTTTTTTCTTTGCAGTTTAGATATTGCAAGGAAGAATATATTGGAAATTGATAGCAACACCGAGAACAACTTCAAGACAATTGTAAATAGCTTTGATATTAGTGATAGAAATAACAAAAAGTCTTCTATCTCCTCTTAGTCCAATTTGAGCACTGGAATCCTGTTGTTGCAGGATAAGCTTCATATACTGTTGTCCTTTCTTCGTCCTCAGGCCGCAATTCAATGACATGTGGGTTGAAATCGGACGCCGTCTTCGACTTTTCCTTTACCTTCCCAACATTCATAGCCGTGTTTTCCATCTCGCGACCATGCCCGCGTCTTCATTCAAGATATCTGAAGGAAAAATTGGGTGCTATGGCCAAGCAGACTTGTAAAATTCAAGCTCTCGTAGCCGATGTGGGTTCGTGATGGCCAAGCTGTTACCACTTTCAAGAACGCAGTCGTCTGCTGTGGTGCCTACCAGTACCAATAAATATTACCAAGCATCCGGACTTGCAATTTTGATTAAGTCCATCTTCTTTACTTTGCAACCGGTCTCAATCTGCTTCACATAGCTAGGAACTGAGGGAGTTGGCGGATTTAAAAATCACTGGCAACATTATTGTTGTAGCGGCAGGATACCTTGGTTGTGCTCCGACGGAATGTAGCAAACTATTTGTGCACAGCTTATGCTTTGGTGCTTTTACTCCACCCAGTCCCATCTATCGACTCGGAACAAAAAATAGCAAAAAATTCAAAACAAACCAAGCGGCACAACCAATCCCAGCTTAATAGATGCCATCACAATCAAATCCATCAAAACCCAGTCTTCTGACTACAAAATGCGATTCAAGAAGCAACATAGGCGCTGATCCATGGTCTACCACTCTGTTGGCTCCTTTGCTAGTCAACCCAGTGATCCTTACACAAGCTCTTTCTCGATAAACAGTAAACTTCAATTCTAAAATCAGTTGCAAACGGGACTTCTACCTCTGCTACGATTGCTACGCAAGCCTTTTTCCTAAAAAGGACCAGACCCGTTCATGTTGCAGGAGTTACCAGGCCTCACACTTCAACTTGATGCTTCAGGTACAGTTTGAATTTGATGATATCAAATCTATGTTTTACACTATTTCTCCGAAAAGAGATTTACGAAGCAACGTTTTTATAGTGTCCTCTGAGCTCATTTGGCGACTAGGGCTCTCTACAAAGACGTGCGATCATCCAGAAGACTTGACTACAATACCCAAAGTCGCGAGATGCGAGAGATAGGCCAGTCTAAAGATGAATTGGACACCCATAGGGTTGGATGCTGTTGGAAGGGTCTGAATTAAAAATTTGTACAACACGATTGGCTGAATGGGTTTGAAAGAATTGGTATGGTCCTGAACAACATCACCCAAACGGACCATTTTCCACCAATTAACAAAATGTTCAAAAACGATTAACTTTCAGATGCTTATGGCTGGATGGAACCATATCCTCCTGGTGAATCTGCTCTCCGGATGGCCAAGTTGCTGATCCCGGTCATCAAGCTATCAAGACTGTCATTCAACCTTGTTTTTTTGCTTAAAAATAAAATATGAAATCAAAACAAATAAAAACAAAAACAAAGAAAACAAATGAAAAGGGTCCCCCTGAATTAATTGCTAATGTTCCAAGCCTAGCCAAACCCTACGCAGAAGGAAGATTTACACTTCTAGATGGTTTGTTATATTTCAGGAATAGACATTCTAGTGTCTTGGTACTCTGTGATCAGGCCCAAATAGATAATATCTTGCATGAATGCCATGATAATATCCACTCTGGTCACTTTTCTGAAGACAGGACAGTAGAAAGGATTAAGCACACCGCCTGGTGGATAGACTGGAGGTCTCAAGTTGCTGAGTATGTCAAATCTTGTGAAGCTTGCCAGAAGACAAATAAGCATACAGGCAAAAGATATGGATTGCTCCAGAAAATTGCTGAACCTACTACCAAATGGGAAATAATTAACATGGACTTTGTGACTGGTCTTCCCCCTGGAGGAGCTTATTCTTACAACTCAGTCCTAGTGGTAGTAGACAGATATTCCAAAAGGGCTAGGTTTATCCCTAACCATAAGGATGACACAGCTATGGAAGTAGCCATGATATTCTGGAATAGGATAATGGCAGATGTGGGTATTCCTAAAATTATAATCAGTGATAGAGACCCCAAATTTACCTCTGAATTTTGGAGAAATCTTCATGATATGTTGATTAAGTTTTACTAGTCATAAAAGAAAAATAAAAATAAAAACCAAAAACATTTATAAATTGGGGCTTGGTTAATCGACTCCCCAAAATTGGAGAGTCGACTCCCAAACCCCGAAACCCCCGAAATTAGGGAGTTGATCCCCCAAAACCGTCGACCGGTTTGGGAGTTGACTCCCTAAGAATTTAATAAAAAAAAATAAAAACCCCCGGTTGGTTTGGGAGTTGATCCTCCCAAACCGACCAGGGTTTGGGGGTCGATAAACCAAATCAACCCCCACCCCACGGCAGCGGCCGGGAGGATGCCTCCCGGCAGTGAGACCGCATTCTCAACGGCCAAGAGGGGAAACCCTCTCGGCCGTTGAGGGCAGTTACACTCAAGTCGCCAAAAAGGTTTGACATCGTTGTAACGTGAATTCACTGTGTCACACCAACAGTAACTGGCTGGTCAATAGCCATATGTGGGCCCCTTCTTGGCCCAATTTGTCTAGCTACGCCTGGTTCAGAACAGGCCAACTGTCCTATAAGTGTGCCAGTTCACATCCATAGCTGCAGGTTTTGTCACAGCACCCCTAGTTGGGTTACAAGGCTCGCTTCACTCTCTGCCACCTGTATGCAAGGACTACAGTGTCTTAGCATGTACTACA